GAAGAATAAGTATCCGTTGCCGAGAATTGATGACTTATTTGACCAGTTGAAGGGTTCGAAGTATTACTCCAAGATTGATCTTCGCACGGGGTATCATCAGCTGCGGATTAAGGAGGAGGATATTCCTAAGACTGTTTTTCGTACCCGGTATGGTCATTTCGAGTATACGGTGATACCGTTCGGATTGACTAATGCCCCTGCAGCCTTCATGGATTTGATGCACAGAGTCTTTCGGCCTTACCTCGATCAATTTGTCATTGTGTTTATTGATGACATATTGATTTACTCACAGACTCAGGAGGAACATGCTCGTCATCTCTCTATTGTGCTACAAACATTGAGAGAACATAAGTTATATGCGAAGATGAGCAAGTGTGAGTTTTGGATGAAGGAAGTGAAGTTCTTGGCCATGTTGTGTCTGAGCAAGGAGTAGCGGTTGATCCCGCAAAGATTGAGGCCGTGATGAAATGGGAACCACCGAAGAACGTAACAGAAGTACGGAGTTTCTTGGGATTAGCCGGCTATTATCGTAGGTTTGTGGAAAGATTCTCCAAGCTTGCGATGCCGATGACTCGCCTTACAAAGAAGGGGGAGAAATTTTTGTGGACTCAAGCGTGTGAACTAGTTTTTCGCACCTTGAAGGAGAAGTTGACGACGGCACCTATCCTCATTATTCCGAGTAGTGGGGAAGGCTACGATGTCTACACTGATGCTTCACTACGAGGCTTGGGATGCGTTCTAATGCAAGGAGGGAAGGTAGTGGCGTATGGCTCGAGGCAACTCAAGGTGCATGAGCAGAATTATCCCACACACGACTTGGAGCTGGCTGCGGTGGTGTTTGCTCTTAAGTTGTGGAGATGTTATTTATACGGGAAAAATTTCAAGTGTTCTCGGACCATAAAAGCCTCAAGTATATCTTCACACAGAAAGACTTGAATCTCCCGCAGAGAAGGTGGATTGAGTACTTGGAAGATTATGAGTTCACGCTCAACTACCATCCGGGGAAGGCCAATGTAGTTGCCGACGCTCTTAGCAGGAAGTCTCAGGGTGAAATCAATTTTCTTGTGATAAATAGGTGGAAAATGATTGATGCATTGGAGGAGTACGATCTATGGGTGGATGGACCGGAGTATCAACCATATCTATTCAACCTTGTAGCTCAACCGACGCTTCGGCGACGGGTAGTGGAGTTGCAATGCCTGGATTCGGAACTCGATTGGATTAGAGCCCGATTGGAGAATGGAGAGGCGATTGAAGGATGGTCTTGGAAGAATGGAGAGTTGAGATATGGGGAGAAGCTATGTGTTCCCGATGATTCGTCCCTAAAAGAGGAGATACTGGGAGAGTGTCATCGCTCCAAGTTTGCTATCCACCCCGGTAGTACAAAGATGTATAGGGATATGAAGCGTCAATACTGGTGGAGGGGAATGAAGCGAGATGTGGCCAAGTATGTGGCAAAATGTGCAGTGTGCCAACAGGTGAAGATTGAGCATCAAAGGCCAGGAGGAGTCCTACAGTCTTTGCCTATTCCAGAGTGGAAGTGGGATCACATCACCATGGACTTCGTGTCGGGTTTACCACGGACGTCGCGCGGGCATAATGCAGTGTGGGTCATTGTGGATAGACTCACCAAGTCCGCTCACTTTTTGGGTATGAAGACCACGGATACATTCGAGACTTTGAGCCAGCTGTATATCCGTGAGATAGTGAGGTTACACGGCGTTCCGCTCTTGATTGTGTCGGATCGTGACTCTAGGTTTGTGGCGAGATTCTGGCAGAGTCTACAACAAGCGATGGGGACGGAGTTACACTTCAGTACGGCTTTTCATCCCCAAACGGATGGCCAATCCGAGAGGGTGATACAGATTGTGGAGGATATGTTACGTGCTTGCGCGTTGGACTTCAAGGGGAGTTGGAGCGACCACTTACCGTTGGTGGAGTTTGCTTACAACAACAGCTATCAAGAAAGTATTGGGATGGCACCGTATGAAACATTGTATGGAAGACCATGCCGATCACCGACGTGTTGGTTAGAAGCCGGCGAGAGTAGTTTGTTTGGACTGGACATTGTTCAAGAAACTACGGAGAAGATTCAACTTATCCGAGAGAGGCTACGGACGGTGCAAAGTAGACAGAAGAGCTATGCGGACCACAGACGAAGACCCTTAGAATTCAAGGTGGGAGACTACGTATTTCTCAAGGTGTCACCCAAGAAAAGCGTGTTTCGATTCGGCAAGAAGGGGAAGTTAGCGCCAAGATATACCAGACCGTTTGAGGTAATCAAAGCGGTAGGCAAGGCGGCATATCAACTTCGACTACCAGCCCAGCTATCCGGAGTACATGATGTGTTCCACGTGTCCATGTTGAGAAGGTGTCACTCGGATGCAACTCCAGTCGTGAACTTGGAGGAGATTGAAATTCAAGACGAAGCAACCTACGAAGAACAACCGGTAAAAATTCTCGACGCCCAGGAAAAAGTGCTTCGCAACAAAGTTATCAGATTGGTGAAGGTTTTGTGGCAACACCATGGAGTGGAGAAAGCTACATAGGAACCGGAGCAAGAAATACGGGAGAAGTATCCATATTTGTTCGCTACTTGAGGTAAGTTTCAAGGACGAAACTTTCTTTAAGGGGGGTGGATTGTAACACCCCGCATTTTCTTTTATATATGTATATAGATATATAGTAAATAATTGTGATAAAAAAAATGTGGATATATGTAGTGATGTGTGTTTGAATTTGGTAGATTGAAAAAGTAGAGATTTAAAATGTTAGTGAAAATAATAGTTGAAATTTGATTTTAATAAGTGAAAATATGAAATTTTAGGTCCTAGAACTTGTATTAAATAGGTTTGGTGTAGAAATATGTGTTGGAGAGGTTTGGGATAGATTTGGTTGGCTTAGGAATGGATTGAAAATGGAAAAGGGACGAAGACAGGCTATGAACAGTGCACTGCTGCAACTTCAAGCTCGATTTAGACCTTGATACAGTCAATATCTCTCAAAACTCAAAACATTAAAGTTTTAGAGTTCTTTCGTATCATTCCATATCATCTTGAATCATCTCAATCGGAGCTTGGATGAGAGAGTTATGCTCAGATAACAAAATGATGTCGAAATAGTCCAATTAGCTTCGTTTTGTATTTAATGTCTCCATTTGCATCCTAAATCAAAATATAAAAATAATGAGTACTTTTAGGCTTCAAATAAGTATAAAAGGCTTTAAGAAACACCCTTTATCACCTTTTATTTGCAAACATCGCAAAACTTCATTAATAGCCGATTCGGATGGGTAAAATATAAACTTTAGTGTTTCGGGTGTACGTTGACTTGGGTGTTGAGATAAATCATAAAAATAAATGTTTTTAGGTTAAAATAACATTAAAAATGAATCCGAAACGTAGAAAAACCTTAGGATAGTCATATGGATCAAATTGGAGATTCTTAGTGGCAAAACCGTAAATTTTGAGAAATCCAAAACAACCTGTGAACAGTATTTTTCGGGGCTGCTATGTTTTAAACTCATTTTCATCTCATTTGCTCTCATTTCCTTCACTCCCCTCACACCCCCACACCTCTTGAAACCCTAGAGGGCATTAGAGAAGAAGAAAGGAAGGGAAAAACAAGAGATTCAAGGGTGATTCAAGATCAAATATTCTTGTTCTTCACTCCAAAGCTAAGGATTCAAGGTAGGGGTTTTCTCTCATTCACTTACATTGAGGCTAGGGTATTTATATATGTATGTTTTGGCTATCAATGATATATATATACTATGGAATCATCCTCTCTTAGACTTTTTGCAAGGATTACATGTTTTGAACAAAGTAGGGTTTAATACCCATGAAATCTCATTTCTAGTTTTAAAACCCTAATTTTTGGAGAGTGATGTATTTTCTTCCTAAATGTTTTCTTTATTATGGATTTCAAAACCTTAGTGCTTTGTGTTGGGTAGAAAAATGATGTTATTGTGATCTCATGTATTTTATTAGTTAGTTGTGGAATTGTTATATGATATATTTTGGGAATTTTGGATAGATGCTTGTAAATTGAGATAAATGTTAGGATTTTATGCTTGGTTGGGTTGTTTATGATGCACATGAGTGAGAGGTTCCTTGTAAGGATGCTCACCCCTTCCCAAGAGGTTTCTGATAAAGATGTTTGGAAAATAATGTAGTGATTGGTGAGAAGTTCCAAGTAAAGATGCTCATCCATTTTCAAGAGGTTCCCGGTAAGGATGCTTGAGAATCAAAGGTGACCTAAAAGGGGGTGGAGGTTACCACAAAGTATGCCACCTACTGAAAGAATTGTTGAAAATTGATTATGACAATTAATTGTTATTATTTGTATGTGGTGCTCATTTATTCATTTAAATAATGTTTTTAAATAAATTTGAGATCCTTTTTAAATGTCACTGCTTTATTTCAAATTATGTGTCTATGTTATGTTAAAATTGAGACCGACCGTTTTAAATGCTTTTCTAAACCTTGTATGGGTTTGGGAGAATGTTTCTACAGAGCTTCGTACTCACCCCCTATCGCTAACATTTTTCAGATTACCCGCTTGAGGAGGAGGACGTAAGGGTCGAGGAGCCCGCTACTTGGGAGACTCCACGGGACGGGAATGTGGATCCCGAGGTGGACGCATAGAGCGACCTCCTTTCCTTTTGTACTAGACTAGAACATTCTTTTGGAATATTGTGTAGTCTAACTTCTTTTGTTTATTCCGCTGCGCTTCCTTAATTAATTTTTGCAATGTAATAGCCATGACTTGGGCTTATTCTTTTGGATAATGTTGTAAATATTCGTGGATGACAAATGAAGTCTTGTTTCTTAAGGGATTATATTAGTGCTCTCATGATATGAATGGTTTTAGAATGTAATGTCATCCAGGGTGTGTTTTGGGGCGTTACATTAACAACCCAAAATTCGCCTAGACTCGGCTCGGTTTCACCCCTATTCCTGGGCCTTTAGATGCCATTTTAGAGCTCTTTGGAGAATTTTTCATTGAGCTAGTTCAACATAGTTTTTTCGATTTGTCCCCTTTGCACGACTCTGGCTGTACATGGGTTGTGTGCTCATCCTCTGGAGTTTATTATGAATTTTGCCTAGCAATATGAAAATGACATAGCATGTATGCATTGAGGAAGTATATGGTTTAGTGAAGTTATGTACAAAAAATTACCATAGATTTCCTTGGCTATTTCATTGAAGACACGAACCAAATCTTTCCGATTGTCATAATCACTAGGTTTTGGAAGATTAGTGACATGAATCTCATGAAGTATTTCCTCAAGTGCAGGTATGTATCCCATGGTTACTTTATGCTTCTGTAACCCTTTTAATTCAAACTTCTGTGCTTTCTTGCGCAGGACTGTAATGAAAGGCACTCAAACCATATGCAGAATATTAATTTGCAAACCAAATAATCATTCAAATAAGTTCGAGTTAATACCAAAGGAACAATCAAACATCACCAGCTTGTAGCACAAGCAATGAACAAGGTGAAAACTGTTACTGGTTAAAGTTAATTAGAAGGCCAGCAGGGTCAGGAGTTAAGCTATATTTACACAGGTGCATGGATAATGACTCATGAGCTGCTTCTACTCAACTTCGCCTAACAAAGACTTATGGGACTTGTTTTACATCTTATATCTTCTCTCAAAACCCTATTGCACACATAGTTATGCTTGATGTCATTTGCAAAAGAGTAATATCTACAGTGAAATACAGCATCTTTTACTTATAAGAAGTAAAAAATTCTTTGAAAATGAGAATATTACATAGGCTAAGGACAACTCCTCGACCCATGTGTTCAACATATTTCTGTTTGTAAGAAAGTGCGATAAGAGAGAGCTTTCAAACCAAAAAGATGCTGCCCCATGCATGTTTCAGTATTGAAATTCACCATATGAGGCGATGTAATATTTTGGCTAATGGGTATGGGCTGTTTGCTAACACCGGCAACCTTCTCTCAGTATAACTTGCCAACATCTACACCAGGAGATCCTAGTAAATGATTTGTTAATTGTGAGTGACACCCAAAATATTGACACTACTTCAGATCATCATGATTGAAAACAAGGTACCACCTCGAATTTGTTCTCCCATATCATGCTTGAGTTGCATGATGATTGATTCCCAACCAAGTGTGACTCAAAATTCCTAGGAAGTCTTAAAAGAGTGGAGAAACAAAGGTCCAAAAGAAGCATTAGTTACATATACATACTAGCCGTTTCGAACCTAGCAACTCCAAGTTGTAATTGCAAAATACTTCCTTCAAAAGAAATCAAACTCATTTAGTCCTAAAGTTGCTTCATCGTATAGCTAAGTCCTAAATCATCCCCTTTAAGTTTCACGTTTACAAGCAAGAGTTAAATGAAATACACTGCTGGATTAAAATGTCTGGGTCACTCACCTTTTTCACGTAATGCCATAGTCTACAACCTACCAAATGGATGGAAGCTTCAGGGACAAATAGCGCTGTGCAGCACAAACCCTATAGGGACAATACGTCAGATTGGACGATATTACATTCATCACTAGATCATTATTTCAACCCTGCAGCAGGAAAAACAAAATTTATTTGTCAAGATGAACATTCAAAGTCATAAAAAAGTCACGAGGCCGTTTATTTTTCTTCGATAATAAACACAAATTTTATTGATAACAAGAGATCATTACAAGAAAACAAAAACAAATGGGGACAAGCAGTCAAAAAGATGCCAAAAAATAAATTCTATCCCAAAGACCCCAAACTCTTCATTTTCATCCACAAAAATCCTCCCATTCCATTACTTCCAAATCACACATAGTGTAGCAAAGAACATAAATGAGTAAGCAAGCAGAAATAGCTTCTCCGGTATGTGAAACTTTTATAAGCTAATTCTTGGTAAAGATGGGCAATTTTCAAAAACGTACCATGCACGAGGTCTAGCACCATATGAACTTTGGCATTAACAAATTAGTTGAGGCTCAAAATAATAAAGTCCAACTCTAATAATCATTGAAGATACTATATACGCGGTTAACTTAATAGATTGGGGAACTTAACTAGAGAACCGGTGCCTTGCACTTAACAAAAATACTTCACAAATTCTAAGAGAATTAAGTTGAGAGCAAGATGACCACAAAACCAAGGACAAAGAAGTTTTCCAATAGATTAGCCAAAAAAATTTACAGACACAGTTAATGTTTCCCATGCATAGATATGAAGTCCAATCCAGCAGCAAATTCTATCTAGTAAGAGTAGTTAGCCCAATTCCAGTGAAACCAGAATCTTTGAGATCAGATCCCCACCCCAAACATAACAATCCCATCCATTCCCTTGAGATGAATCATTAATCAGGCGAAATGGTCCTTGATCGTCAACATACCAGTACATCGAAACTAATTACCAAATAATTAGTAAACACCTTTTTCGGGAACAAGAAAGTTTTTTTGAAATTTGGGCACAGCATAGAATTCCCATTGTAAACTTTTATCAAAGAAAGAGAAAAGAAGAAAAAGAAAGAGGAAATATTATTACGTGCACAGTAAGACTGTGCAACAACATCAAAACTTAAGATACATAACAGAGGCCCTTATATAGTAGGCCAACATCAAATAAAAGAAAAGACTAAACTGCCCCTATAATTCAAAGTATACCAGACTACTCTAACAACCCCTCTCCCCTAAAACTCATGATATGATTGCGGAAAACATCAAAAGTTTGTCAAAAAAAAAACAAAAATGCGGTATGGTGTGAGGCTTTATAAAGCAGTTTGTTAATTGCATGGTAGAAGCAAGAAAAAGGTGAGAGATGGTGTCCAACTGAATGTGATGGTCCACAAAGTGGCGGTCAATCTCAATATGCTTCATAGTTTTAGAATCCAGTCACTCGGAAAGGGATCAGGTCGATTGGTCAATGGTTCAACAATTGAGTTAACAGGTCAGACGTATAATATAATAAAAAATTATAAATAATTATAAATAGGCTAAAAAATACAATAATTATGGAAATAACATCAAACATGTAAAGTTAAGTATAGAAAACTCATCGCACATGTATCAAATGCACTCAATTTTCAATTCAACTTGTAAAGTTAAGTAGAGATAAATGCCCAATCTGTATAAATCGAGTCAGTGTATAAATCATTGAATTATCCATTTATAAATCATTGAATTATTCAATGTATGAGCTTCCATCCATGTAGAAATCAGTGAATAATCAAAGATTCAAGGCGTCATTGATTTCAAACTCTCAATTGCCTCCTCTTTCAGCGTTTTCTTCGCTCCCAAGGACATAAATCTCTACACCCACGAAAATCCAGTTCATTACAACCCAAATTTTAACTTAAAAACACATATAACTACTATAAACTTTCATATATAAATATATATATATATACACAGATACAGAGAGAGAGAGAGAGAGACATTGTTCAGCCGAGAGTCAGAGTCAGAGTAGAAAGACTGAAAGAGACACCGAGGGAGAGAGTTTGTACCTGCTACTGTCAATGGCAGTCGTCGAAGCCTCGATGGAAGCTCTGAAGCAGCCTTCTTGTTCGAAGCTTGTGTTCCTTCACTCGTTCCACTTCGATTAAGGACTCCCTTGCTTGCTCACGGCGCAGAGAGAGAGAGAGAGAGAGGTGTCGGCAGAAAGTCGTCGACCGTCGACAAGGCAGAGGGGCAGAGCACTGCCGGATGCCTGGGGTGGTAAAGGCTTGAAACGATTTGGGTAAAATGCCTAAAGGAAAAAGCTCGGCATTTTATATTAACGGGAGAATTACACCTAAATTCTGTAAGATTTGTGGACGTGTTTTTTAAAATATTATATACAAACTCTTAAAATTTATAAACGCATAATAATTAAATTCTGTTATCGATGTCCGTTATAATAAATTATATTTAATCCCTTTAAAATTTATAAACGTGTAATACTTAAATTCTTTAAATTTAAAATATTATACTTAGATTAAAAATACTCTAATTAAATATAGAATATTAAATATTTTAAATTTTATAACTAAAATTCATATTTTATTATGATAGTTATTGAAATAAAATTAAAAATAAAAATTTAATTTTTTCTTAAAAAATTTTAATTAGTATATAATTATACTATCTGTTAGAATTTAATTTTATTTTTTAAATGACCAAATTAAACTATAAAATTATCTCAATTAAAAATAGAATATATTATTTTTATTACAATTTGATCTCTTGTTTAATTTTTTTAGTTTTATTCTAATATATAGTATAATTGTATACTAATTATGATTTTAAAAAAATTTAAATTTTTATTTTTGATTTTATTTCAATAAATGACATAATACAACATGAATTTTTGTTATAAAATTCATGTATTTATTATTGTGACGCCCCTAAAACTGAGGGTCTTTTGTTAACCCGTTGATCATTCATCAACTAACGAAAAATACCCGTGAATGTCGCATAACCTAACACCATGTCACAATATCCCTTTTATTGGGATCACAACAACTCAAGTTTGGGCAGAGTCTCCCATATGTCGGACATTCTCAAACATATAACTTGTATACCATTCAACCACATGAGCCATCCGAGGCCAAAATATACCACAATTTATACTCTTTTATAGCCAATTTGTTTCATTTAAATAAATGGACACAAAACTCGTAAGTATGACAAAACATTCTTAAAAATTTAGATTTTTAGGAAAATCTATCGATAGAAGATGATCATGTTCTACCGATAGGAAAACCCTCTAGAAAAGTTCTCCCGGTAGGTTTTGCTTACTAAAAAAATTTTACCGGTAGAAGAACTCATCATTCTACTAGTAGGTTTTAACAGTTTTCCTACGATTCCTTCATTTTTCAATTTTAATATATTCTAAACTTATACAACCTCATACCAACACACATATAACATCAATTTTAAGTAAAATACAGTTCATATGAGTTCACTTTACAATATTTTCATATGTCCAAAACTAAATGACATAAAGGTTTTTGTTTCTACAACACATGTTTCAAAAGTCATAACTTGGCTTTTCTTCAAACATGAGGCCCCGATTGAGAGCTTTTTTGTAAAGATCTAAAAAATGAGGATAAATTTTTCATTTTGCCAATGGGGCACTATTCATGCACCATTTGTCAGTAGGGACACTACATATACATCATTTAGGCATAAGTTATGTTTATGAGCATAATTTGAGTATGTCATAGAAGAGAAACATGCTTAGAATGTCAAAATACACCTATTTTGTGAAATTGAGCCTAAAAGGAAATAATTTAAAAAATTGGACCAAAAGGGCATTCCGGGTAGAACCGGGCAAACCCGACCACAAGCAAAA